AAAATAGAGAACTTTAAAACAGTTCTCTCTCAACACCCCTTCCAGCCTACCCCCATGCCTTGCCCTGGAGGCAACCATTCTGCCACGTATAATCCTAGATCATAAACATAGATATCTATTTCTCCATCTATCAGCTTTAAATGATACCAATTTACTCTGAAAATGATGATTTAGTTTTGTGGGGTTTTTTGTCTTTTTTTAGAAAGGTGGTAAGGACAGAGGGTGAGGGAGAATCTTAAGCCCAGCACAGAGCCTGATTCAGAGCCCGACATGGGGCTCGATCAAGAGTCAGACACTCAACCGACTGAGCCACTCATGTGCTCCCCCCATCTAGTTTTTGATATTATCTCTCCCCTTCCCTCCTCTTTATCCTTTTGGGCTTTTATTTTGCAGCTTTCAGTTCTTCCCCTGGTTACCTTTGTGACTGAAAATAACACATTTACATCACTAGTTCATCCTCTGTCAACCTTGGTCAACATTTCCTTTTTTTCGTCGAATAAACTACAATTATAGACATGATCTTTGCATTACCAAAGCTGTTAACATTTATTTATGCTCTAGTTCCAGGCATGTGTGCTTTGTCTGTTTAATTTTAAAAGGTAAAAGCGAATACATGGCACTTATAATGTTGAGTGAGTAATATGGCTCACCGCTGAACCGAGGAGGTCCTAGGGTTGTATTTTCTTCCCAATAGGTTTTTGGGGTTGTGTAGGCTCAGGTCATGATCCCTGGTCCTGAGATGGAGGCTGGCATTGAGCTCTGTGCTCAGCACGGAGTCTGCTTGTCCCTCTCCCTCTTCCTCCCCCCAAGTGCACTCTATCTCTAAAATAAAAAAAGATAAATAAAAATAAAATCTTTAAAAATAAATAGAAAGAGCAAAGTGGCTAGAGAAAGATGTGAGATGACAACTGGGTGTGAATAAGGAAGGGTGGAACTCAAGACGGGAACACATGGAGGGAGACAGATTATGGCGAAAAGGGGGGAAGTGAGAACAGAGGGGCCTGGGAGGAGAAAAGCTCTTCTGGGCGAGGAGGGAGGAAATACCCAAAGGGCGGGGCACTGGCAGCCTGGGAAAAGGGGCAGCAACCACAGGAGTGGAGACAGGCAGGGAGTGGACAAGCGAAGGGATGCAACAATCCATCCGGGCAGAGGCTGGGAGAGGAGAAAGCATGGCCCCCGTCCAGCAGCCTCACATGGGGGCCCTCTGAGCAGTGACTCACAGAATCTGGCTGCACAGCCCCTGGGCTGAACCACCACTCCAAATCACCAAGAAGCTTAGCAAACTAAGAAGTTATCAAAAATATTCGGGGTAGAGCCAGCTGTCGTTGCCAACTTTATACAATATTATAAAAGTCACTTGTTAGCTCTCCAGAGTCCATTGTGTCATTGATAATCCCGTCGGTTGAGTCGTTCTGTTTTCCTTCCCCTCGAAAGCCCTGTGGTTTCCTGTCCTTACCATTGCCCTCTGTGGAACTGGGGACCTCCCTGCACCTCACCTCATAGTAATTTTTTAAGATTTTATTTATCTGACAGAGACACAGCAAGGGAGGGAACACAAGCAGAAGGAGTGGGAGAGGGAGAAGCAGGCTTCCCACGGAGCAGGGAGCCCGATGCCGGGCTCGATCCCAGGACCCCGGGATCATGACCCAAGCCAAAGGCAGACGCTTAATGACTGAGCCACCCAGGCGTCCCACCTCACAGTAATTTGACGATGTGCTCTGTGACTTCAGCGTGGGCAGAGGGAGTGTACCCAAATCGTAGCAGATGGCATCTCTGCCTTGAAGGAAGACGTAAAAGGAAGCGGAGATGCCACACAGGAACACTCTGGAAAGGAGATGTGCTGATGGGTTTCCAGCCCTGACGAGTCTCCAGAGGCAGCACAGTTCAGGGGATGGGCTTCTCCTGGTCCCTTGGTTTCCATTTCTTTAGTCACAGCATGATGGTAGGGCCAGGATGGCGACAGGGATTGGACTAGATCAGAAATGGCTCATGCACCTCTTACTTCTGGGAAGCGTTTTCCTATAATGCTGTGGTGAAAGAGATTCTGAGTCTGCCTTGCAGCTGCATGGGGAAGTGCTAATATGGCTCCGTGGGGTTAATACCGGTCTTGGATTACTGTCCTAACAGGTGTCCCTTTGTGCCACTGCCAATCCTCATCAACCTTCTCTCCAGGGTCCTAAGAGCTCCTGTTTAAATTCATGGAGGCCGACAAGGGTTCTGTCCAACTTTCACTCTGTTGACCCAGGAGAGATGTGGAAACTGGCCTCACTCTGTTGCAGCCTCACATATGTGCTTGCTCAAACATGCTACACTAGTTGTCCAGAAATTCAGTTTTCCCAGTGCTGCCAGAGACCTGAGTTTGGCGACCATCCTCTGCTCTGTAGCACATTATCCGAGAAGATGTCCATCTTTCTTAAATTTCCCTCTAGCACAGGCTGAGATTTGTGACCATAGTTTATAGGTCAATTCTGTGTCCATAACACTGGGAGGATGCTGGGGGAAAAAAAAAAAAAAAAAAAGCAGGTCATTTCCTCCTAAATTTGTATCCTCTATGTGTAGCTCCAGATCTGTTAAGGTTTTAAGAATGGTGATTACAGTCCGGCCAAACTTCTTTGGTGATCTCTCTCTTGTCTCCAGCAGTGTATGTTTATGTATTCTACGTAACTTAAAAAGTATATAGAAGACATAATTCACACAATTCTTTCATACAATTAGCTTTGAGTTTCATCCTCACAAAAGGAAGAGTAGGTATTATTATTTCTATCAACTAGGATGATATCAAGTCTCCAGGAGTGCAAATGATCCCTACACGCAGCTGAAAGAGCAGAACTAGAATTGGAATCTAGATCCTTTGATGAGAGGCTCACAGAATTTACAAGAGCAGGAAGTTGGGGGAAAACTTGAAGAAATTGAGTGAGGGGATGGGCAGGCAGCGTTACTATAGGTCACCCCCATCCCTTGCTTTGAATAGGATCCAGGAAGCTTAGGTTCAGAGGCAGGTCATGGGAATAAAATTATAATTACTGAGTGAAACAGCTGTTGAAATGAGCCGCAAACATTTTGGTTTCCCCTTTCCTTTTAGAATCCTGTACGTTAGTGGTTTCCAGTCCATGTCCTGAGGAGCCTTGGAGTTCATGAAGGTTCCTGAAGGTGATCATGACCGCATGATGGAACATCTCCACAGTGCCACATTCATCTGCTTTAGATATTGGGCATCTGCATAAGATTTAATTTGAAGAAAGAACATTCTGCTACTTAGAAAAAATTTTTGAAAATCATCATTATACGGGACTATTTAACCCTCTTGCCCACTTATTTCTCCAGGACATCTGGATAATTTTCAGCCAAGGAATTTGCCATTAAAAGAGGTAAACCATGACCCACACTGACACAGAGGGAGCTAGGAGCTGGGGGTAATGATCAGGCTTAAGACATAGGATTTAGAAGCCACAGGGACGTGGTCATCCAGGGTCAGAGGAGGTGGCCCACCAAGCCTGTGAGGGTGGCAACTCAGGGCTGTGCCGGACCACATTCGTGAATGCATGTGGTGCAAATAGGAACTGAGAAATAGATGTAGAGGATTGAAATCCCAGGTTTTTCTCATACGTACATCAGAGTTCCTTTAGTTTCTGGTGATCAAGATTGGGCTTCACTCCTGGGAGCCTCAATATGCTAAGTTCAACTGGAAACACCACCAGCCACAGGAAGTAGAATTGGGTCTTATCTTCTATTTCTACCTGTTGCTTTCATAAATGTGTGAAATCAACATTCAACCCTGTCATCCAGCTAGACTTCCTGAACTCCATGAATTCTACTAGTGAGCCTGGCTCATTTCAGGTCAGGATCCAGGACTGGGTGAGGAGTTAGAACAGGAATGGGCACAGGTTCAAACTGTATATGAAAACGACTAAATTTAATCATAAGCCATCATCATCACCATCCCGAACCTGTTATAGAAAATCAACTTTTTTTTCCCTCCCACTGCAAAAGAAAGATCGGAGGGCTTGTCAGAAATCATTTTGGGGATTCTGAAATAAAGACATTTTGGAAGCAGGAAAACATGATCATGCAAGCAAGACCAGCAATGCAATTAAACGCTACCCTTTCCTTGACCTCTGTGTCATAGAAACAGCAGCTGATATGCAATATTACCTCGGAGAGGGGGGGAAAGACCTTGGGAAGTTTAATCCTGGATATCCTTGGGGTTGAAGATTGAGGTGGAGCACTGGCCTGCCCATGGATCATGCACGTGAATTCCTGAGTACTGCAACCACTCAGCCTGAGCCGTGCCCCTGGTAATTACACCTCCCCACGGCAGCGCCCCTGAACTCAATGTTACATTAGGCAATTGTGGCAGGACTGTAACCTGATAGCAACACATTATGTAGTTATGTGGGAACTCTGGTTTCTGGAACAGATCGAGGTTCCCAAGCTCTGGTCTGATGCTCTTTGGGCGTGTCTTTCACGAAACACTCTTTATGTAGAAAACAGACTAAAACACCAACATGGTCTTTGGGAGGTTTTTCAACAGCAACATGAAGCGGACCCATTTCTTTCAAAGAATTCTTAGCCAAAGAGGAGAAAAGTTGCTAAAAAAACAATAAATAACCCTCTTCTCTGTCTCACATTTGTCACCTAGCTTGCTTAAATACTGTGCTTTGGGGGTAAGTTTTTTTTTTTTTAATTTAAAATGTCATCAAATGATGCTTTATCATTGATGATAGAGGTACTTTACATTCTTATTTCTTAAGGAAGCCACTGAACTTGATAGGAAGGCTAAATGTAATGTTTCAGATTCAATAAATGAAAATGGGTGGGGATAAGTAATGAGGGTAGAAGTCCCAGTTTTCATGCTCATAATGAGAACCAAACTACCAGTGCCTAGTCATCCGCCCTTTATGAAAGCTGGCTTCGAGAAAATAGGAATGAAAGGAGAAGCAGCAGAGTATAGCACCTGCGTCATCCAAACTGAGGGACTTGTCATTAGGCACTTGGAGAAGGAAAAGGAGAAACTGAGCGTCACATCCCAGTGGCAGTCACCTCGTCAGTTTGGGACTTACAAGCTGTGCTCCCATCTTCCCCGCAGGGGGATTCAGATGATGGCTGGCAATGTGGCTCCACAGACCAGATATGCTTGCAGGTTACTTCTAAAGTCACACTGGGGGAGTTGGGGAACATGGATTTATCATAGAGCAGGCAGAAATGGGAGCCCAGGGCAGAGGAGAAAGGACTGGGGAGAGCTGAAGAGGGACAGAGTCACTGGCAGGCCAAGTAGGGGGGGACGAGGAAAAGCAGGTGAGGTTTTATGTCTCTCCCCTGGACGTACGTAGGATAATTTTAGGCAGGATGTGACGCGTGAGACACATAATCCAAGACGAGAGAATTTCAGACAATATATCTAATGTCTGTGTCAATGATTTGGCTTGGTCACATGAATGAGTAAAGGCCAGGTCTCCGGCATAGTGGGAAAGACCCCCCCCCCCCCGCCCCCGGCCTTGGCCTGTTGCCCTCGGGAGCTCCCTTGTCAAGCATAATTGTGCCAATGTGTGGGATGAGTGCAGGGGACACACGTGAAGGCCTGTTTCCCATCAAACTCTACGGGCAGGTATGCCGGCTCAGTTCTGGCACACACCCCTTGGCTGCTCCCTCTTAAAGGGGCCAGGGAAACCACCTGTGATGCCATATCTTAGGAGCTTCCAGAGGTTTTAAAGTCTGAGATGATGTCACTTCAGAATTATTTGCCAACAGCTGTCCCATAAAGGAATATTTCCAAAAGGAGAGTGATCCCTTAGGTGGGCAAATTCTTACTAGAGGAAATTTCCAAGAATACTTCGTATCATAGGATATATTTTTCTGACATATTAGTTGTACTTTTAAAAATTTCTCACTTCCAATCAGCATCCCAATATTGATATTTTTATCAAATCCAGAGCACTGCTCTAGCCCCATTGTTTCCTAAGAGACTTACCTTTCAGCTGGGACAGACCCAGGAAGCCACAGAGGTTCCAAGTGGCGCTGTACTCCCTGACAACATGCAGTTGGACTCTGATTGAGGACAGCCCCACCGTAGGCAGGCCAGTAACCTAGGGCTGGGGGAGGAAAGAAGAACGGTCCAATGAGATTCCCTTCTTGAAGTGTTTGGGCTTGGGTACCTGAGATACTGACTTAGCTGTAAGGTCATGGAGACGGGGGCTGGGATGGCCATCATGGGACATGGGCTAAATGAGAGGAGAACAGAACATATGTGGGGGAAGGGAAGAGGAGAGGAGAATACCCCTAAAAAGAATGGTTTGAGTTTCTGGCAACGTTGCGAGCTCCATGAGCTCTTGTGGGGTGTCATTTCTTGTTTTTGAATTTCTGTGACTCTTCTGTGTTTCCTAACCCTCATACCTCCCTACCACCACTCCCAGCAACTCCCCTTCCAGAATACCACCTCGCCAACAGGTTCGTCTGGCTCTCTGTCCTTCCAACCATGAGCAGGAATGCCTGAAGAAAACGTCTCCCAAACTCCACCCAGAATTACCTTTCTCTAGAGCCACCAAACCAAGACCAATACAAACTTTCAGAAAAAAAGAAAACTTAAGTGAAAAAGAAACAGTCACAAACTAGATGTTGCGATCTGACCAAAATAGAATACATTTTGTTAAATTTAAACTTTTAAAGGTACAGTTTAAACTGAAAAGTGTTCATCCGGAAGGAAAGAATGAAAGAGGGCAACCAGTGAGCAGAGCAGGAAAAGACCAAAGAAATTCTTTAAAAGCATGAACAGAAGAAAAAAGCTAGAGAGAACTTGGACACTCCTTCCACGAGGAGAAATGCCAAAAGGGGACACCTACTGTGTGCTACTTGCTTTACAGACGCTATCTTGTTGGATTCTCACAACCGGCACTATTTTTACGGGAGTACAAACATGGATGCAAAATGGGTAAACTGCCAAAAGCTAACAAACAAAAAAAGAACAAAATCCCTTGGCTGGCTGGCTACAGAGCTAACGCTCTGAAGGAAGAACACGTTTGTCTGAAGTCTCCAGTCAGGCATTTGAGGAAAAAGCTCACGGTCGTGAAACGCCGTGAGAGGGGTCAATCCTTCACAGGTTTTCTCACCTGAAAGTCTCAGCCACAAACGTTGAGGATTCTACTGAGTGTTTGCAATTATGGGGACTTTCCATGCAGCTGGATCTTTTACAAAACAAATCCTGGCCTGAGACATGATTACCAAGAGAGACAGCTGTGGGGTGCGGACTTGTGTATAGCCTCATCTGAGGTCAGTATTGAGCAAACAAGATCAGGCGAAAGGGTGCATCTTGTAAAAAGCCTGGGTGATATATCCCAGAGGAGGTAACTACCAGCAAGGACAGCACAGACTCAGTTGCGGGCAGTTCATAGCGTGTAGATGTAGGACATTCACCAATGGGGGAGTCCTTGCTTTTCCTGCATGTGGAAGGAAGTCTTTATCTAGCACAATTAGGAAACAATTCAGCTACAGAGTTTGAAACAGACTTGCCTGTGACTTTGTTATAGCTGGCCCAAGAGCTTTGAAGCTCAAAGCAGTTCCTCAGCCCTTCTCCAGAAAGCAAAGACATTCTGGAAGAGATCCCTATTCTACAAGGGAGCACATTTGAGAGCGGAAAGACCAGAGTGAGTTATGCTAAATTACATACTGCAAGCCCAAGTCAGGCAAAAATCAGAACTTGAAAATGCTGACTCCCAGGTGAAGGTTTTGTGCTTTGGTGCCTTTGCTTTATATCACCCAAGGGGTCTTATATTGTCTCTTCCTTATTCACTCACTGGTCATAGATATATTGAAATGCATATGCCTGAGATATGGAAGACACTGCCAAGTGCTAGAAAATTCAAAGAAGAAGACACAGTCTTAACCTTTGAGGGCTGATATTATGTACAGCAGTCCTCCATTGTGGGACTGGGAAATACTACATCTAAATTCTCCATTGTAAAGTTGGGAAAGTAGAAATTATTATTTTATACAGGTATATTAAGTGCTATGTGAACACACAGGAAGAAAATTACTTTGGTCTGGAGGGGTCAAAGAATGCTTCATAGGGGAGGCAATGAATAAGTAGATGTTTCGTAGGGGGAAGAAAAGTAGATTCTAAGTAATGGAAATGGTCTATGCATGGCTTTGAAAATAAGAAAGAACAGGCATGTTTGAAAAAGAGCAAATAACCTGCCATGCTGCATTGTTGGGTTAAGATTGGAAGTGTTCCTGAGTCAAATCATGAAAAATTTTGCATGCTAACATAAGGTTAGAATTAAAGCTGTAGGTGTTACAGTTCTAGCAACAGATTTCAGAAAGAGGAGTGATATGATTATATTTTAGCCTTATAAAATAATTATGATTCAAAATAAACATGGAAAATTAAGAGTAAGCATTTATAAAAAAACTCTTTCTACAACCTACTGAAAATGACAGTGAGGGAATTAATGAAGGCGAAAACACCAAAGACAAAAAAGCTGTAGAGGAAAATCAGACAGGAATTGTCAACTACATTTGGGAAGATGGGAAGCTGAAAGAAGAGGTAACTAACTGATCAAAGTAGAGAAATCTAAAAACCTAGGAAGAGGAAGCCAAGAAGAAGCTAGATAAGTTGCTCTAAAAAATTTCTGAGAGGTCAGGAATTGGTGGTCCCTGATATTTGGAAGATGAAGGGAATGGAGAGGGGGCAAAAAACAAAGACTTTGTTGAAATCTGCCTAAGTTATAGACCCTTCCCTATGCCCCACAGCTAGGTATCTCTCTCCTGCTCTGGTAAAAAGCAAGATGTTTGCTCTCTAGAGATGCTGAACCAGCATGGTTCTGGACTCGTGATGGCTCGGAGCTAGACAGAACAGAATTAAGTAAAATCCATTATTCTGAAGCATAAGGCTTCTCCAGCTCTCAGGGACTTAGCTTCTTAAGTCTCCTTCCTTTACCTCCATGAATGTTGACGTTCAAGCTTATACTCCCCATGGAGGAGACAGGCAAGTTCCTCTGTGGAGAAAGTGAGCAGCCCTAAAAGAACACACCTACCAATACTGACATGGTAGTCACCCAACAAAATGCCTGGGTCCCACTTCATGGCTCTACAGGAAAGCTTAGCAGTCAGAGAGTCCTACAAAGGGCTTCCAATCAACTTTTTATTCCTTGACACCTAAATGTAAACAGGCAGCCAAAGAGCTCCAGGTATATGAGGAAATTCTCTAATATGAAAGATAGATTTAAAAACCCAAAGCAACTACAAGTAAATGGGAAAAAATAAACCATGGAGAAAAAGAGAGGCAATCCAGAGAAGAAAACTTCGAAAACACTTTTATTAATTAACCATTACTGCATCCATAAAACAAGAGGATGCAATAAAAGGGAAATAGTAAGTGAACAAGAAAAATCTAAAAATTACAAATATAAAAGTAGAATTTTTTTTTAAATCAGTAGAAGAATGGGAAGTTGAGAGAGCCTTGCAGAAAGTAGTACAAAAACATAGGGATGAAAAATAAGAAAGTAAAATATCCATACCAAGCATATCATCATGAAATGTCCGGATACTAGGATATACTCGGATTAAAGAGAAAAACAGTTCCCACATAAAGAACCACAATGGCACTGGGTTTCTTAAAAGTAACACTGGAAGCTAAAAGACAATGGAGCAACAACTTCAAAATTCCAAGGAAAATAAGTTCTTTCTACCTAAGATTTAATACCTGGCCAAACTTTCATTTCAGTGTGACATTAGAACAGAGGTATTGACAGATAGGTGAAGTGTGTCAAACATTACTTATGCTCACCAAGATTTGTTTCTCCTTTCCTTCCTGGTACATGGAACACTATACTTCCCAGACCTCTCCAAGTTAGGTGGGATCATGTATTCTAATCAAGTAGGTGTGCCCAGAAGTGACATGTCATTTCCTGGCCAACGCATTGAAGGGGGATGTATGAGTTCTACGCTTTCTAAAGAGGTCTCCTGTTGAGATAGTGGAACCATAAGATGGGAACAGTTTGTATCACTGAATTACCTCATGAAAGATAACTGCCTCGGAGGGTTGCCTGACCTTCAGCAGACTTGTGTGAGCAAGAAGAGACTTAATACAGTAAACCATAAAGATGTGACGCTTATTGTCACTGTAGTGTAGTTTAGACTAACCTAACACACAACCTATCATAAATACTTCCAACTGCGCCATTTCTCAAGAAGTTAATGGCTACCCCATGGCCCAGCAATTCCACTCCTAGGTTATATACCCCCAAACAATGAGTGCATGTGTCCAACAAAAAGACAGAACAAGACTATTTATGGCAGCTATATTTATAACATCCGAATACTTTACTTTCATACCACATACCACAGTAAAAAACAAACAAAAGAACAAACTACTAGTACATGCAACAACACGGATGACTCTTCCAAGTATATAATAAACAGTAAAAGAGAGTCAGATATAAAAGAGTACATACTTTCTGTTTATTTACATAAAGTTCAAGAACAGGAAGAACTAATTGATGGTGATAGAAGTCAGAATAGTGATTACCTTATTGGGGGTGGTGTGATGGTGGAGGGTATTGACTTGGAAGAGACATGAGCAAACTTTGTAGAATGCTGGAGATATTCAGTATTTTTTTTTTTTTAAGATTTACTTACTTAATTTATTTATTTAGAGCACAAGAGTGGGGGGAGGGGCAGATAGGGAGGGAGACAGAGAATCTCAAGCAGACTCCATGCTCAGTGCAGAGCCCAATGCTGGGCTCGATCTGACGACCCTGAGATCATGACCTGAGTCGAAATCAAGAGTCAGACACTTAATGGGCTGAACCACCCAGGCGCCCTGATATTCAGTATCAATGGTGGTTATATGAATATGTATACAAAAATTAATTGGGCCGGACACAAGTTGAATATACTTTACCATATGTTTGTTGTGCCACCTAACTATAAAAAAAATTTTTTTTAAGAAACTACTGGAGACTGTGATTCACCAAAATGAGGATATATGCCAAAAGTAGGAAATCATGGGATACAGGTATAGGAAATCCCCCAAGGGACAGAGATGAAGGGAATTCCTCAGAAGATGCTGAGTCCCAGGATGGTAGCTGAA